CTGGCAGAAGCCCTTGGTCTTCTCAGCACCCATCAGGGACCGGATGTTCTGGGGAGGGGTCGGGGGTCAGGACTGCAGCCCCATGGAGCCTGTGTGCCAGCCCCACCCACCCAGCTCCCGAGGGGCCTGGTGGAGGCCCTGGGGCCTGAACTCGGGACCTGGCAGGTACTTGTGTCTGCAGGAATGGAGTAACGCCCACCACTGCCCACACAGCTCGAGGCTATTCTTCCGATGCGATCCACGTCAACACAAAACACCCAGCATCTCATGGGGACATCTCGGGCTGTGCTGACCTCCTGGCTCATGGAGAACCCACCAAAACCTGTCATGCCCAACAACTCCCCTAAGACAGACTGGGCTTCCTGGGGTCAGGGGTGGGACACCGGGCACATGCCCCATGCCCCGTGATGTGCTGTTTCTGCCCGCTCGGCCATATGCCGCCCCCCCCAAGGGGGAGTCCGACACACAGTGACCAACATCGCGTGTGGACACTGCTCCTCCCCAGCCATGCTGACCAGCCCGCAGTGGCCAGGCTCAGGGCATCCTTTGGTCAGAGCTGGGAGCCACAGAGAAACACTCCCAGGTCCCAACACCAAGTGGCACTGCCTGTTGGACTTTAAAGTCACTCAGAATGGTGACCCCTCGATGCCTTGGATGGCTGCCTCCTGGAACAGGTGGTCTCTGCCACGCTGGCCCCACATTGCACTCTGGAGCTGGGGCCATCTTCTGTGTGAGTCTGCAGCTCTGCGGACACCGGCTTTTTGCGCCGGGGTGGACCGTGCCTGGGGTCTCAGCAGCACCCGGTTCAGACGACACAGGATGTGAGGGAGGGATCTGAGCGGCCGCATGAGACTCTGGGCCGAGTCGAGACTTGGGAGGGTGCTGGGGTGACATGAATGCGTCTCGCACATGATGCAGAAGTGCATTTTGGGGCCACAGAACAGACTATAGTGGGTTAACGGTGGCCCCCAAAGATATATCCACATCCTAGTCCCCAGAACCTGTGAACGTGGCCTTATTTGTAAAGGGGACTTTACAGATGTGATTAAGGACCTGACATGAGATCACCCTGAGTCCAGTGACAAGTGTCCTTGTAAGAGACAAAAGAGATACAAACGCGGGGGGAGAGTCACGTAAAGACAGAGCAGAGCCTGGAGAAGTGGCCAGAAGCCTAGGGACGCCTGGAGCCTGCAGCTGGGAGAGACGAGGGTCCGCCCTGCAACACCTTGATTTTGGACCTCTGGCCCCAGAACTGGGAAAGGATAAATCTGTTGTCGTTGGCTCCGTGTGTGGTCACTCGTCCCAGCTGCTGGAGCACACTCGTGCGAAGGCCAGCACCGCTCCCTCCGCCCCTGCCGAGCCCTCAGGGCCCCTGAGTGGGCCACCTCGGCAGCACACGGACCTCAGGCCACCACGCAGAGAGCGCAAATGTGGAAGGACATGGCATAGAAGCTGGGCTGTCACCAGGTCTGAGCTGAACGTCCTGGGCATCAGGGCCCACACCTTCCCGAGTGCAGCCGGCACTGTCTCTAAGGCCGGGCGTCGCCCACTGGGGCTTCTCAAGCAGGTTTGAGGCCTTCGCGTTTCGAATGCAAAGACCGTGGAGACGAGAGCTGGCAGCATGCGGCACACCTTGGCGCGTGGCCAAGCAGAAGTGGCCTGGCCCCACTGTCCCCTCCCAGCCCACGCGCCACCCACCTCCTCAGCCTGCTGGGCCTCTGCGTGCTTGTCCAGGTAGGTCCCCTCCAGCACGGAGCCCACGATGGTCAGGCCCTTGCCAGCCTTGAGCTGAGTGGTGAAGGAGAGCAGGCGGGGGTGCTTCACACGCTGCTCGGCATCCAGGTTCAGCATCACCAGCACCTGGGGCCTGTGCAGGGACAGCGGTTACCATGGCAGCCATCGCCACATGCTCGCCGGCAGACAGGTGAAAGGTGGACAGGTAAACAAGCGAGATGGGTGAGACAGGTGAACAGGTGGGACAGGTAAACAGGTAGGCTGGGTAAACAGGTGAAGCGGGGGGACAGGTAGGTAGGTAAGACAGGTGAAAAGGTAGGACAGGTGTAACAGGTA